TTTTTTCTATAAGTGATAGCACGAATTTTGTCCATTCTTTTTTCTTTCTGTCAGAACATAAAACTGAAAAAGTGGCATCTAGCTTAGCAATCAAGATAGCCATGTTTCACATCAGAGATCCCAGATTCAATTCCCAGCTCCTGACTCCAGATTCCTGCCGATGTAGATCCTGAGAAGCAGTGATGACAGCTCAAGTAACTTCAGTGATCATCACTCAAGGAGTGATGACAGCCCCAACTCACTCACGTAGGAGACCTGGATTCAGTTCTTGGTTCCTGGCTTCAGCCTGGTGCAGCCCTGGATGTAGCAGGCATTTGGCAAATGAATAAGAGATGGGAGATCTCCCTGTCTCACTGTCTCTCTCTCTCTCTGCATCCCAGATACATTAATTTAAAAAGCTTTAAAAAGAACTTTAATCTATATCTTATTCTCTGTTTAGTGTAATACTTGCTGAGGTATAATTTACCACCTTTACCAGTGAAAAGCACTGATCCTAAGTATACCATGAAATAGACTTTGAGAAATACATATATGTAGGAAAAACCACACCCAGATCAAAATAAAGAACACTTCCAATTTCCCAGGAAGCTACATCCTGCTTTTTTCCATCAACTCCTCACCCCTCTACAGAAGTGACTATTGTCAATGAATTGGCTTTCCATGTTGCACATACAATGTTCTATTTTCTGCTTGGCTTCTTTCACTCAGAAAACTGGAGATTCATACGTGTTAAAGTTTTCATATATCATGGTCCTTTTTCATGGCTGTGCAGTATTCTGTTGTATGGATATACTGTAATTTATCCATCTGCATACAGATGAGTATTTAAGATGTTCTCATGTTTTAAAAAATCAACTTTATTGACATAACTTTTATATGATCAATACTCTCTTTTAAGTGCATGTTTTTATAAATTTTCATTATGTGTGTGCATGTATGTGCATGATGTAGGTATGTGGTATGTGTGGAGAGTGTGTGTATGATGTGAGGGCATGTGTGTGTGGTGTGTATGTGTGGGTAGTGTATAATCTAGATTCAGAAAGTTCCATCATCCTAGAGAATTCCTTCATTTCCTATCCAGCCTATCCCCGATAAACAATGAGATGTTTTCAGTTCTGTCACTGTAAGCTGCTCTGTTTCACATGACTACAATACTATAGTAGTCACTCGTGTATGTGTGTGTGTGTGTGTGTGTGTGATATTGCTTCTTTGAACTAGTATGCGTTTAAAATTTATTTATTTGAATGAGAGAGATAAAGATATAGAGGTAGATAATGATCGATTGATTGATTTTTCCACTCACTGGTTCACTGTCCAAATTCCTATAACAGCCACAGCTCACCTAAGCTTAAACAAGGAGGCTGGGCCGGCGCCGCAGCTCACTAGACTAATCCTCCACCTGTGGTGCCGGCACCCCGGGTTCTAGTCCCAGTCGGGGCACCAGATTCTGTCCTAGTTGCCCCTCTTCCAGTCCAGCTCTCTGCTGTGGCCCGGGAAGGCAGTGGAGGATGGCCAAAGTGCTTGGGCCCTGCACCTGCATGGGAGACCAGGAGGAAGAACCTGGCTCCTGGCTTCGGATTGGTGCAGCGCCGGCCATGGCGGCCATTTTGGGGGTGAACCAATGGAAGGAAGACCTTTCTCTCTGTCTCTCTCTCTCACTGTCTAACTCTGCCTGTCAACAACAACAACAACAACAAAACAAAAACAAGGAGGCTGGAACTCAATCCAGGTCTTCCACTTGGAAGCTGGAATTGCAAAAATAGTCAGGACTTGAATATAGGCGCTCTGATATGGGATGTGGGCATCCCAAGTGGTGTCTTTTTCTCTTTAACTTTTATTTAATAAATATAAATTTCCAAAGTACAGCTTTTGGATTACAGTGGCTTCCCCCCCCCCCATAATTTCCCTCCCACTCGCACCCCTCCCATCTCCTGCTCCCTCTCCCATCCCATTCACATCAAGATTCATTTTTAATTATCTTTATATACAGAAGATCAATTTAGAGTATATTAAGCAAAGATTTCAAGTTTGCACCCACACAGAAACACAAAGTGTAAAGTACTTTTTGAGTACTAGTTATACCGTTGATTCACATAGTACAACACATTAAGGACAGAGATCCTACATGGGGAATAAGTGCACAGTGACTCCTGTTGTGTAGTATCTGTCCTGTTGTTGACTTAACAATTGACACTCTTGTTTATGGCATCAGTAATCACCCTAGGCTCTTGTCACGAGTTGCCAAGGCTATGGAAGCCTTTTGAGTTTGCCAACTCCGATGTTATTTAGACAAGGTCATAGTCAAAGTGGAAGTTCTCTCCTCCCTTCAGAGAAAGGCACCTCCTTCTTTGATGGCCCGTTCTTTCCACTGGGATCTCACTTGCAGAGATCAGAGATCTTTCATTTAGTTTTTTTTTTTTTTTTTTTTTTTTTTTTTTTGCCAAAGTGTGTCTTGGCTTTCCATGCTTAAAATACTCTCATGGTTTTTTAGCCAGATCTGAATGACTTAGGGCTGATTCTGAGGCCCGAGTGCTGTTTGGGACGTCTGCCATTCTATGAGTCTGCTGTGTATCCCGCTTCCCATGTTGGATCATTCTTTCCTTTTAATTCTATCAGTTAATATTAGCAGACACTAGTCTTGTTTATGTGATCCCGTTGACTCTTAATCCTATCATTATGATCAATTGTGAACTGAAATTGATCACTTTGACTAGTGAGATGGCATTGGTACATGCCACCTTGATGGGATTGAATTGGAATCTCCAGGCACATTTCTAACTCTACTGTTTGGGGCAAGTCCGACTAAGCATGCGCCAAACTGTACATCTCCTTCCTCTCTTCTTCCCACTCTTATATTTAACAGGGATCACTTTTCAGTTAAATTTAAACACCTAAGAATAATTGTGTGTTGGCTGGCACCGAGGCTCAATAGGCTAATCCTCCACCTTGCGGCGCCAGCACACCGGGTTCTAGTCCTGGTCAGGGTGCCGGAATCTTTCCCGGTTGCTCCTCTTCCAGGCCAGCTTTCTGCTGTGGCCCGGGAAGGCAGTGGAGGATGGCCCAAGTGCTTGGGCCCTGCACCCCATGGGAGACCAGGAGAAGCACCTGGCTCCTGCCTTCGTTCAGTGTGGTGCACCGGCCACAGTGCGCCAGCCGTGGCGGCCATTGGAGGGTGAACCAACGGCAAAGGAAGACCTTTCTTTCTGTCTCTCTCTCTCACTATCCACTCTGCCTGTCAAAAAAAAAAAAAAAAAAGAATAATTGTGTGTTAATTAAAGAGTTCAACCAATAGTATTAAATAGAACAAAAAAATACTAAATACTAAAAGGGATAAAGTATTAAGTTGTTCCTCGACAGTCAGGACAAGAGCCGATCAGTCATTGTTTCTCATAGTGTCCATTTCACTTCAACAGGTTTCCTTTTTGGTGCTTGGTTAGTTGTCAGAGATCAGGGAGAACATGTGAAATTTGTCCATTTGGGACTGGCTTATTTCACTCAGCATGATGTTTTCCAGATTCCTCCATCTTGTTGCAAATGACTGGATTTCATTGTTTTTGACTGCTGTATAGTATTCTATAGAGTACATATCACACAATTTCTTTATCTAGTCTACTGTTGATGGGCATTTAGGTTGATTCCAGGTCTTAGCTATCGTGAATTGAGCTGCAATAAACATTAAGATGCAGACAGCTCTTTTATTTGCCAATTTAATTTCATTTGGGTAAATTCCAAGGAGTGGGATGGCTGGGTTGTATGGTAGGGTTATATTCAGGTTTCTGAGGAATCTCCAAACTGATATGGGGAAAAAGGCACACTAACCCACTGTTGTTGGGGATACAAACTATTAAAGCCACTACGGAAGTCAGTTTGGAGATTCCAAGTGGTGTCTTAATTGCTGTGCCAAAAGCCTGCTTGTTTGGTTATTTTAAATATATTTTTATTTTCAGCATATTTTTTGAGATTCATCCATGTTTCTGTATGTTTGTTTCTGTTTGCTAGTTAGTAGTTTTTTATTGTATGGATTCAAAAGTTTGTCTGAAAATAAAATTAAAAATAGATTTAGGGAGCAGGCTTTTGGCCTAACAGTTAAGACAGTTGGTTGTCTCCCACATCAGAGTACCTGAGTTCAATTATTGGCTCTTTGTCTTGATTCCAGGTCTCAATAATGAAGATTTTGAAAAGGTGCTGGTGGTGGCTCAAGTGCTCTCCATATAGGAGGTCTGGATTGAGCCCCTGGCTCCTGGCTTTGACCTGGTGCAGTGTTTCCATAATGGGCATTTGGGAGTGCAGCAGCTGATGAGCTTCTCTCTCCCTATTTGTTTCTCTGCTTCTCAAATGAAAAAATAATAAACATATAAGTTCATTTTGATGCAAAAATTTTAAAATCTATACATAGTTTTTTCAGATTATACATTTCCCATGAACTTTTTGAAGATCCCACTTACCATACAATGTTTACCTCTTGATACATAAGTGGATGTTTTTTCAATTTGAAGCAATCATAAATAAAGATGTTATGAACATTTATGTACAAATCTTTTTGTGTGCATGTCGATTTCATTTTTCTGGATATTGAAGTAGCTGCATTGCTAATATAGAGGAGAATATGCTTTTTTTTGCATTTATAGATACAGAAAGGCAAGTGTGGGTGCTAATATCATGGGTATAGAATTAGATTATTCAATTTTGACAATGTGGAACAATGGACTAAAATGATAGGGTGGCATTTTCTAGCTTAAAAAAAGTGAAGATTGAGTATACTTGAGTATAATTGGGTAAGAAATCAATTGTATATGCAAAAGGTAGAGATAGCCATTTATGCCAGTAGAGATAGGTGGTGTTTGTTGCCACAAAAGGCTAAACTATGTGTGATCTGCAGCATGTAACCTGTAGCATGTATTCAGACTCACATGCCCAGGACACATGTGGACATAGCATGTTAGCAAAAATGTTAAGGTGTTCTTCCCTCTTCAGCATATTCTCTACCCTCTTCCATGCAGGCCACGCATGCAACTGTGGAAGGGACTACAGCATATGATGATACCTCCAGAACTAACTCACAGGATGAGCCAGAATCTGGACATTTTGTTGAAATAATTGGGACATTTATTTGAAAAGAAAATGGTATATGTGTTCAAATACTTTAAGAAATACTTATTAAAATATGAAATTAATTTTGTATGCATTTATAAACACCACTGGGGAGACTCTAATAATAAAACTTTCAAGTAAATGAAAAGAGTGTATTTTACTAGAATTTCCAAAAAGAGTGTTGAGAAATGTTTTCATTTATGAATGTTTGAGGTGGAGAGCTCAAACTGGGAGAGAAAGCATTATGAGAAAACCATTTTTATATATAATTTCATTTAATTTTTAGGAAACTTCAAAGTGAATATGATTATGAATTATTTCTATATGATGGAATTCAGCAGTTGAGAATTTACGTAACTTTTTCAAGGTCATAATGCAGAATTGGGGCAATTTTAAGCCTAATTTTAAACCTTCCTTTCTTCACACCTTCCTTTCCCAAAGGACAGCAGTTAGAAGTCACAAGCAACGTCTTTAATAAATCCTATAGTGATTGTTACTATAATTCATTATCAATCTACTAAATTCTTTCAAGATTTAAATTACACCCTAAATGAAAGTCAGATACATTCAGATGAAAACATTTATCCTTGTGTTTCTGTCACACATTAAGTGACTCCATTACTCCATTGTGGGCTAAACTTGCAAGCCCCCTCACAGCTGTTAATTCTAGCAGATGAGATGCCCACCACCCGTATGACAGTACCTGAGTGCCACTCCTGGCTCTGGATGCCAACTTCCTGCTGCTGGAGATCATAGGAAGCAGAAAGGATGGCTTTCCTGAGGTAGTTGGGTTCCAGTCACACATGTGGGAGACTGTGATTGCTTTCCTAGCTCTTGGTTTTGGGCTGGCCCAACTTTAGCTGCTTCAGGCATTTGGAGAGGGAACCAGTGAAAGAGAGCTCTCTGCCTGTGCATCTCTTCTCCTCTCAAATAAATACAAATTTTTAAAAAGTTGAAAGCCTTCACTTATATATCTGTCTTTATCTCAAAGAAAGGCTGGATGACATTTATTTTAACTACTGAACTTTATAAAAACTAGTACTCATATTTTCTTCCCACATTAGCGTAAGCTTTGAGGGCATTATTTGGAATTTACAAAATCTTTCTGCAGTAGTGAGACCATGTTATAAATGCAAATATTATACACAGATCGGTGATTTAGAAGTGGTATTATGAGAATTGGAGCCATTTTATTCAGTAAAGTTAGCCTTTCCTTGTGTTAGATCTAATCTAATACATGGTTGTCTTGATGGTTGTTCGAGAAGGATTGAAAGAATAATTAATTCTTTGTACATGTGTCTCATTTGATGGAGTGTGAGTTCTGTGTGGAAAGAATGGGTTCCCCAAACTCTTTTCAATTTGTTTTTAGCTTATCATCGGAATGCATTGGAGGACTTAACAGTCACTAACAATTGAGTTTTCCTCCTTGCCTTTTATACAAGTAAGCAAATGGTTCAGTAGGTTTCAGGGGAAGTTACTCCGATATGGGATGGAGACATCCCAAATGACAGCCTAATCTGCTGCATTGTAACACTTGCCCCAAAGTGTATGTTTTGCCCTGAAGATAGTACTAATACTGGGGATATTTAGGGCAAGGCTGCTATATTTACTATATTAACTATTTCATAAATAGCAAGCAGGTTTTTTTTTTAAGATTTATTTCTTTTGTTGAAAGGCAGAGTTACAGAGAGAGGTAGAGATGGAGAAAGAGAGAGAGAGAGAGAGAGAGAGAGAGAGAGATCTTCTGTAAGTTGGTTCATTCCACAGATGATCACATCAGCCAGAGCTAGGCCAACTGAAGCCAGAGCCCAGAGCTTCATCTGGGTCTCCCATGTAGGTGCAGGGGCCTAGGCACTTGGCCCATCTTCTGCTGCTTTCCAAGGCACATTAGCAGGGATCTGGCTTAGATGTGGAGCAACTGCCACTTGAACTGGTGTCCATATAGGATGCCTTCATTGCAGGAGGTAACTTTATCTGCTACACCACAACACTAATCCCAGCACACTGTTTTTAAAGTGTTTCCAACTTTAAAGTTTATTGAATTGATGTAATATTTCCAAAGAAATAGAAAAAATATGATATTACTATTAGCACTATGTAAAGGTTTTTTTTTTTAAACATAGAAACTTTTTATTTAAGGTATATAGGCTTCATGCATTTTATATATATAAATTTAGGAACATAGTGGTTCTTTCGTTTCCCAAACGCACTCCCACCCTTCTTCCTCCTTCTTCTATTCCCATTCTTATTTTTTACTAAGATCTATTTTCAATCAACTTTATACACATAAGATTAATCCTACACTAAGTAGAGTTCAATAAATAGTATGAAGGAAAAAAAAAACTGTTCAACAATTGAGATAAGGGCTGTTCAAAGTCATCACGTCTCAAAGTGTCAATCTCACTTCTACACATTATTTTTTATGTACTCTATTAGTTACCACAGATTAGGGAGAATATATAATATTTGTCTTTTTGGAACTGGCTTATTTAACTAAATATAATGTTTTCCAGTTGGAACCATTTTGTTGCAAACGACAAGATTTCAATTTGTTTTTACTGATGTATAATATTCCATGGTGTATATACAGTGTATATACACTGTAATTTATTTATCCAGTCTTCAACTGATGAACATCTGGGTTGATTATGTATCTTAGCTATTGTGAATTGAGCTGCAATAAACATGGGGGTACAGATAACCCTTTTTTTTTGCTGAAATTTCATTGTGTTAACTTTGAAACCTTGCTTATGCACATTTTGAAACAAATTTTTTTATTTATTTGAGAGACAGTAATATTTAGAGAAAGACATATAAACAGAGAATGAGAGAGATAGAGACAGAGAGAGAGAGAGAGAGAGAGAGAGAGAGAAACTCTCATCCACTGGTTCACTTCCAAATGCCTTGCAACAGCTCCAAATTTGAGCTGAAGCCAGGAGCCACGAACTCAATCCAGCACTGCTGTGGAGGGCAGGAGCTTGATTCATGAATCTTCATTGCTGTTCCCAAGGGTCTGCTTTATCAGGGAACTGGAGTCAGGAGTCAGAGGCATGAATTCGACCCAGACACTCTGAAATGGGACATGGACCTTGAGAGATCAAATGCCCAGCCCCTGTACATGCATGTTATATTCAGGGGTAATAAAGCTGTCCAGGCAGGCTGTTCTTTGCTCTATTGTTGACTATTTCATCCCAAGGGATTTCCTCTGTCATTATAACCCTTGTGCTATGTTGTAAAAGCAATGAATATTCCCTCCTGTGGAAAGATCCTAATGTGTTTTAACAGTCTCTGCTTTCAAACATTTTGTTATTCTCAGATTTGCACTGTTACGAATGACACTATAATAAGTATGTTTTTTGTTGATATGGAACTTTGAATTGTGCCATTAGAAAATAGCCTTGAAAATAAAATTATGATGCTAAAGGGATGAACTTTTCCATAGCTCATAATGCAAATGACCAAAATTCCAGACCTCAAAAGGGAAACTGTTCATGTTTAGAGCAGCAGTATACAAGGGTGCCTCAAAAAATTCATAGAAAAATGGAGTAAAGGATACATAATTGTGTTGCACAATGTTTTTGAAATAAATGCATAGTTTCCAATGTGCAGTGTGCAACATCCCATATTGCACTACAATATCCAGTTACTTGAGGATAAAAACAAAAGTGTGCTGGAATGCCTACTGTGCATATGAATTATGAGAGATATGAAGCTTAAAGAACTGAGGGTGTTTAAGGCCATGAAGCAGCAGTCTAGCCAAGAATAAAACCCAGGTGTTCTTGATCTCAGGGCTTTTAGTATTACTTGCCCTGAAATGTCACTTCCTCCTGTCCTCATGGACAATAGATATGGCAAACATTCCTGCATTTTTAGGAGATGCATGTGGTAATGCACATGGAATTTCTGGGAAGAATGTAACACACAACTCATCAGCATTTCTTGTCACTTTTTAAAGCAGATTGGGCATTCCATTCCCATTCACAAACCTCATTCTGACCCACTTTAGGAACAGCATTTCCAACACACCTGGTCAGGTTTATCATTCTGTTTCCCTGAACAATATTTTAGAAAAAGAACCTTCTGGAACATACCTCCCAGTAAGTTGTTTAACTTATTCCTCAGGCATGGAAAGTTGAAAAAAAAAAGAAAGCTCCTACAAGATGAAGCTCAAGCCATTTTTTCTTTTAAACACCAAAGTATTAATCAGAACACCTCAGTGACAGAAGATTCGGTCTGCTACAGCATCTGGTTTCATTGCTAAACTCTTTTTTTTTTTTATTTTTTGACAGGCAGAGTGGACAGTGAGAGAGAGAGAGACAGAGAGAAAGGTCTTCCTTTGCCATTGGTTCACCCTCCAATGGCCGCCGCAGCCAGCACGCTGCGGCCAGTGCACCACGCTGATCCGATGGCAGGAGCCAGGTGCTTATCCTGGTCTCCCATGGGGTGCAGGGCCCAAGTACTTGGGCCATCCTCCACTGCACTCCCTGGCCACAGCAGAGAGCTGGCCTGAAAGAGGGGCAACTGAGACAGAATCCGGCGCCCCGACTGGGACTAGAACCCGGTGTGCTGGCGCCGCAAGGCGGAGGATTAGCCTAGTGAGCTGCGGCGCTGGCCCATTGCTAAACTCTTTCAACTACACAGGTAGCAGTGGCATAACAATTGTTACCTCATAAATATCTTTCAAAAATTGTCTCTATTGATTCTAAAGAAAATCCAAAAGTCCTTTGTCATAGACCTTTGTATTTTCAAAATATACTGTGCTAACAGATAGAGCAAACCTTTATTGATGATCTTTCCTGAAGACCCTCACTCTTTTCTGCCTCTCTTGTCCTGCCCCTCTCCTCTCCTCTCCATGCACAACCCTCCAAGAGATATCCTGGCCTTCCAGGCCTTCATAGACTGATATCTGCCAGCGGCTAACAATATACCATCCACTCCACTCTCTTTTCCTCCCAAATTTATATGCATCCAACTTGATATATCTCCTGTGTGTTCTGAAAACTTGACCTGTCCCACATTAGACTTACCAAGTTGTCCTTTACCCCTTCAGTGCTGCTTGTCAAGTTCTCCTGATAGCATTTCCCTGTTTTTTTTTTTTTTAATTTCTTTC